AGTGTCTAGTGCAGACTCTTTCTCTCTTTGCTTCAAATATGGTGCTTTTTCCCTGGGTCCTCACATAACAGAAGGGACAATGGAGCTCCCTCGGGCCTCTTTTTAAGGACACTAATCCCATTCATAATTCATGGAACCCTGCTGATCACCTCCCAAAGCCCACCTCTCAGTGCCATCACATTGGGGATTAAGTTTTCATATTTGAATTTAGCAGGGACACAAACATTCAGACTACAGCATTCTGCCTTTACTGTCCCAAAATTTATTTGTTCTCACAGGCACATTCCATCCCAATAACCTCAAAACCCGTAACTAATTTCAGCATCAACACAGAAGTCTAAAGTCCAGAATCTCGTCTAAACATCACTCAAATCAGGTATGAGACTTAAGTTATGATTCATCCTGAGGCAAATTGCCCTCTGGTTGTGAAATTAAACTTACATGCTTCCAAAATACAGTGGTGGGACAGGCATAGGATAAAGTATAAAGTTCACTTGCTCCATCACGCTAGCCACATTTCAAGTGCTCAATAGCCATAGGTGGCTAGTGGCTACAGTACTGGGCTATATTATATAAACATTTTCATCATCACAAAAAGTTCTATTGGGAAGCAATATTTTATAGATAGTTTGCAAAGAAGTAGAAGATTTTTAGAGGTAAGTTATATTCTTTTGGATCTAACACTTTCAATTCTAGGACTCTATCACAATGTAAATACTTTTCAGGGGCAAAGAAAATGTATGTGTATTTATAATGTGTTTCTATATATAAACTATTGTAAATACGGACATATATATTTACTGTCATAATGTGGAAAACCTTATAAACAAGATAAATGTAATGTTATAAACAAGACAAATGTAATGTTTTAAACAACATAATTACATCACCCATACCTGAGGAAAATTGATAAATAAGTATTTCCTTCCATACTATAGAAGAGTATGCATTTATTAGAAGCAATAATCTAATCAGAAAACTACTTACAATATGTTGCTCACTTAAAAAAAAATAGAGTCAGGGTCTCACTATGTTACCCAGGACGGTTTTGAACTCCTGAGCTCAAGTGATACACCTACCTCACTTCCCAAAGTACTGGGATTACAGGCGTGAGGCACCACTCCTGGCCTCAATATATTGTTCACTAAAAGTCTGTGGGGGGATATAGGGGAGGGATAGCGGCGGGTGGGGAGTTGGGGAGGGATAACATGGGGAGAAATGCCAGATATACGTGATGGGGAGGAAGGCAGCAAACCACATTGTCATGTAGGTATCTATGCAACAATCTTACATGTTCTTCACACGTACCCTCAAACCTAAAATGCAATAAAAAAAAAAGCAAGGGTAAAATAATATGAATAGTATATACTTATTTATTTATTTGAACCATTTTATTAAGGTATGATTCACATGTAAAACATTGTACAAATTTAATGTATACATCTCAGTGAATTTGGGGATAAATATATACCCGTGAAACCATTATCTATCAAGGCTATAAACATAGCCATCATCTCCAAAGCTTCTTTGAACCTCCTTTATCATTACTGGTGTGTGTGTGTGTGTGTGTGTGTGTGTGTGTGTGTGTGTGTGTGTCTGGTAAGAATAAAAGAGATCGACCCTGTTAGTAAATTTTAAGTATGCAATACAGTATTGCTGGCTACAGGCACTGTACTGCATTATCGACCTCCAGAAGCTGTTTATCTTGCACAATTGCAACTTTGCATCCTTTGACCATCACCTCATTTCATTCTCCCCCAGGACCTGGAAACTGCCATTTGACTCTTTGCTGCGATGACTTTAACGATTTTATTCCACATGTAAATGAGATGATACAGTATTCATCCTTTGGGGTATATCTTATTTCACTTGTCATAATGCCTTTAAATATTACACAGTTTCTATACTTCTAAAGACATATCCAAAAACGGAGGAATAATTACACTTAGTAGTCACATGTGCGGAAGGGAGTGTATTAGGCGAGCATGCAGGGTTGGAGGATAATGGAGACTTTCATCTGTTTCTCTATTATCATTCAGGGTTATTTTTATCCTTTGTGATATACATGTATAATTTCCATAAATAAAGAGAAATATGTCAAAGCAGGCTATTTACACAAGGCTCGGGGTCCAACACTCAGATGTGACACATCTGTGTTTAGCACACAAATTGTATTGTAGCAATGGGAACTGATGAATTAGTGTCTTTCTTCAACAAGTTCTATAACCGCCCAAAGAAAGATGGTACAGAGATGAAAACGATGGTAAAACAGAATAGATCCAGAAGATACATTAAAATCGCCCTTCTCAATTCAGGCTTCTGAGGGTTGTTTGAGAAAAACCAATTTACAGATGGGAGACTGCCATTTCTGGTTAGCAACCTAAATCAGGCCCTCAACACACGTGGTGATACTTCCGTTTTTTGCTAGTCCTCTGTCTCCTGGGTTCTCTTCTTCATCTCTTTCAGCTCTGTCACCCCTACACTCCCAGCAGCTGACGTCACGGAGGAAGCTGAAGCCTTCTGACCAGCTCTCCCTGGTTCTCTCCCTGCACTCCCAGCTCCACCGCCTGCTTCCCGGCTCTGTCTCCGCTCTCCCCCTACCTCCTGCTCTGCTGCCCACTGGAGGACCTCACTGCCATGTCACCCAACCTCTCCTGGAGGCTGAGCAAGGCTCTAGCAGGGACTCTTTCCTCTAACAAGCCCTCTTTCTCATCAACCTACTTTCTTACTTTTTCTCTCTCCTTCACCCAGTTTCTTGAAAGTGCAGTCTAGGTTTGCAATCTCCTCTTTCTAACCTCCTGGTATGTGGCTTAGCTCGTCGGCAGTGCCCCAAAACAGTTGGTACTAAAGTTTCTATAACCTCCTTTGTGCTCCTGGCAGTGTTTCTGGAACTCTGCTCAGCATCTCGCCTGTTGGTCATGACATCACTCATGAAGTGCTTCTGCAATCACCTGTTATCCCACCTTTCCTTTTATACCGACATCTACTCCTTCACAGGTCATTGCAAGCTTCTTTCCCTCTGCCTGACCTCAAATCCTACTGTTCCGAGTGCTCCAATCTGGTCTTTCTCTGCTCATTCCTCACCACCCCATGAGCCATCATCATCAGCTTTTGTGGCTTCAATCAGCACCACTGTGCAGAGGACATCAGTTTAGCTCTAACTTAGACATCTCAGCCCAGAGGATGCTGCGCACTCATCTGACTGCAGCTGAGAAATCTCTTCTTCAATGCTCCTCCACTGACGCCTGGAGATCTACATTTTGCAGGTAGAGCTTGTCATATTTATTTCCCTCATCTAAATCTACTCATTTTGATGTTTTTCTTCCTTGAGTGATTAGAACCATGACATACACATACACCTAAGCCAGAAACATCAACATTCTTTTTCATTTTTACCTCTCTCCATTCAAGCATTAAGTGCAGTAGAGTCTAAGTGGTTTTAAATCTCTTGAAGCTGTCAACTTTTGTCCTTCCCCAAAGAGATGACAGAGTTGACTGGGAAAGAACACAGACTCTTTGGGTAGAGCTGTCTAAATCTTCACAGAGATTGATTGAACTGATCCCACCTTCTGAACCATGGTACAGTTTTCGCGTCCTTGTGTGCAAAGTATGGGTGATAATAGTGGTACCTACAACCTAGCGTCATTGTGAACATTTAATGGGGTGATGTACGCAGAGCATAGAGGGATGTGTAGCATGAAGGAAGCCAGTCTTCCATAAGTACTGTTGATTATCGGCCCTAAGGCCATGCTTTTTGCCAACAGACAACATTGCTTGGTGCAAGAGCTTTTAGCATAGTTTCCCTGGCTCACAGCTGACTCAAGGGTTCTTTTTAACCCTTCCTTGTAATTCAGCCAGGTTGAATATCCCAGGAACAAAACTGAAACTATCAGAATGTGATTTGCCCTTTTTTGGACAAACCCTTCCATTGTCTGAGCCAGAGGCTTCTTCCTTTGTGGAGTCAGCCTGATCACTGGACTAGGAACACAACCAGCTATCTACCTTTCTCAGAAAGCACCTGGGTTTGCTCTTCCAACAGGTACTTTTTCTAGATTCTTCCCACCATTGCACATGGACACACACAAATCACACTGACCCCTGGAACCCCAAAGACAAACACCAAAAAGCAAACCCCAGGCAAAATGAGCTCAGAACCTTCCTGTTGCCTGAGCACACAGGGCAGGCTCCGGGGCCTTCTCTAGAAAGAAGCCTCCGCTGAAGCCAGGGGGACTGCCCAAAGTGGGGCCGGGGGTGTGGAGTCTACACTGATGCTCTCAGGCCATTTCCACTCTTGCTGGTTCCGATGCTCCTTTCTTTTGCTGCAAGCAACCCTACTGGAAAACTAGGAAATGTCCAACAATGAAGTTAGGACAGTGGCCCATAAAACATCCGATTCCAAAGTGTGTCCTAAGGTGTAATGACACAGACTAAAGGCACAAGATACGGTGAGCCTTTAACGTGTTCTCCTGTGTTCTTCCTATTTTTCTATTCCTTCTCCATGTCCGGTGGGGTTCTCTACCCTCTCTCCATCCCACGTGCCAACAGCCCCTCTTTTCTCTTTCATTCTCGCCACGTTTCCCTCCTTTCTTTCTTTCTTTCTTTTTTTTTTTTTTTTTTAGAGATGGGGTGTCACCATGTTGGCCAGGCTGGTCTCGAACTCCTGACCTCAGGTGATCCACCCATCTCGGCCTCCCAAAGTGCTGAGATTACAGGCGTGAGCCACCAGGCCCGGCCCGTTTCCCTCCTTTCTTTCACGTGCGCCCAACGGTACCGCCCAGAAAACGAACTAGATGCGTTGGACAGGGCACGCGCGCATTAGGAATGCCAGCTAGACGGAGCCCTGGGATCCTAGGGCTGGGGGGTGGGGTCCCCGCCAACCTTGCCCGGGCGAGCAGGGTTTTGCCCTCCGGCGCCTCTAGTGGCGCCCCTCAGAAGTCCGACTAGTGAGGCCTGAGTTGCAGGGGCTGAATGGCAGACGGAGACCGAGCAGGGAACAGACCATGAGGCCAGCGCAGACCTTACTCTCCCAAGGCCGACTGCTCCTCGTGCTGGTTCTGACAGTGCTCCTTCTTGACTCTCTTGGCGACGATGTCATTTTTCTTCCTGAATGGGAGTTTGACTCGTACGAAATCACCATTCCCGAGAAGCTGAGCTTCCGAGGAGAAGCGCAGGGTGTGGTCAGTCCCGTGTCCTACCTCCTGCAGCTGAAAGGCAAGAAACGTGTCCTCCATTTGTGGCCCAAGAGGTTTCTGTTGCCCCAACATCTCCGCGTTTTCTCCTTCACGGAACGTGGGGAACTGCTGGAGGATCGCCCTTATATACCCAAGGACTGCAACTACATGGGCTCCGTGGAGGGATCTCTGGACTCTAAAGCTACTATAAGCACGTGCATGGGGGGTCTCCGAGGTATATTCAGCATTGATGCGGAGCATTACCAAATCGAGCCCCTCAAGACCTCTCCCACTTTTGAACACGTCGTGTATCGCCTGAAGAAAGAGCAGTCTGGCAGTCAGGCTTGTGGTTTAAGTGACGAGGAACTAGAATGGCAGATGGCCCCTTATGAGAAGCAGGCTAGGCTAAGGGACTTTCCCGGATCCTATAAGCACCCAAAGTATTTGGAATTGGTCCTGGTCTTTGATCAAAGTAGGTACAGGTTTGTGAACAGCAATCTTTCTCAAGTCATACATGATGCCATGCTTTTGACTGGGATTATGGACACCTACTTTCAAGACGTTCGTATGAGGATACACTTAAAGGCTCTCGAAGTATGGACGGATTTTAACAAAATACGCGTTGGATATCCAGAGTTAGCTGAAGTTTTAGGCAGATTTTTGCTATATAAAAAAAATGTATTAAATGCTCGGCTCTCATCAGATTGGGCACATTTATATCTTCAAAGAAAATTTAATGATGCTCTTGCGTGGTCATTTGGAAAAGTCTGTTCTCTAGACCTTGCTGGATCAGCGAGTACTTTACCAGGTACAAATGTCCTTGCCCCTGCCACCTGGTCTGCTCACGAGCTGGGTCATGCCGTGGGGATGCTGCATGATGAACAATACTGCCAATGCAGGGGTAGGCTTAATTGCATCATGGGCTCAGGACGCGCTGGGTTTAGCAATTGCAGTTACATCGCTTTTTTTAAACACGTCTCTTCAGGAGCAACGTGTCTAAATAACATCCCAGGACTTCGTTATGTGGCTAAGAGATGTGGCAACAAAATCGTAGAAGACAATGAGGAATGTGACTGTGGTTCCCCAGAGGAGTGTTATAAAGATGGGTGTTGCAAATCAAATTGTAAGTTGCAACCAGGCGCCAACTGTAGCGTTGGACTTTGCTGCCAGGATTGTCAGTTTCGTCCATCTGGATACGTTTGTAGGCAGGAAGAAAATGAATGTGACCTTGCAGAATACTGTGATGGGAATTCAAGTCACTGTCCAAATGACGTTTATAAGCAGGATGGAACACCCTGCAAGTATGAAGGCCGTTGTTTCAGGAAGGGATGCAGATCCAGATATATGCAGTGCCAAAGCATTTTTGGGTCTGATGCCAGGGAGGCCCCCAGTCAGTGCTATGATGCAGTCAACTTAATAGGTGATCAATTCGGTAACTGTGAGATTACAGGAATTCGACATTTTAAAAAGTGTGGCAGTGAAAATTCCATATGTGGCAGGCTACAGTGTATAAATGTCGAAACCATCCCTGATTTGCCAGAGCATACAACTGTAATTTCTACTCATCTACGGGCAGAAAATCTCCTGTGCTGGGGCACAGGCTATCATCTGTCCATGAAACCCATGGCGATACCTGACGTGGGTGTGATAAATGATGGCACCTCCTGTGGGGAAGACCGGGTATGTTTTAAGAAAAACTGTGTCAATAGCTCAGTCCTGAAGTTCGACTGTTTGCCTGAGAAATGCAACACCCGAGGTGTTTGCAACAACAGGAAAAACTGCCACTGCATGTATGGCTGGGCACCCCCATTCTGTGAGGAGGTGGGATATGGAGGGAGCATCGACAGCGGGCCTCCAGGACGGCTAACAGGGGTGATTCCCTTGTCAATTCGGATCGTGTCCATCATAATGTTTCGCCTTATCTTATTAATCCTTTCAGTGGTTTTTGTGTTTTTCCGGCAAGAGATAGGAAACTACTTAAACCCCAGCAAGGAAGAAAAGATGCCACCATCCGAAGCAAAACCTGGACAGGAAGAATCTAAAGCAAAAACCAGAGAGGAAGAATCGAAAACAAAAACCGGACAGGAAGAATCAAAAGCCAAAGCTGGACAGGAAGAATCAAAAGCCAAAGCTGGACAGGAAGAATCTAAAGCAAAAGCTGGAAAGGAAGAATCTAAAGCCAAAGCTGGACGGGAAGAATCAAAAGCAAAAGCTGGACAGGAAGAATCAAAAGCAAACGTTGAAAGTAAACCCCCCAAAGCAAAGAATGTCAAGAAACCAAAAAAGTAACCAGGCAATCCACACTCATTCAGTCACACAGGCTCACTTAACCAGCTAATCATTTAACCAAAGGCTTTTCATCCTTCTCCCAATAATTTTGTACTTCAATTTTTCTCACTAGCTTTGATTAGCAAATAAATGACATTCTTGTTTTGGAAACCAACCCGTGCATTCTCCTTCTCTAGTGTTCACTTGCCCCCTAGTGTGTGATCAAGTTGTGGGTGTCTTGAAAAGCACGCTGTCACGGCTTTTCCACCCACTCAAGCTCTGAAAGTAGTGTGTTTCCTAGAATTACCGTGGTATTTAAAGTACAGCCTTGTTCCTCAGAATCCCAGGAAACAAAGCGATTGTCTGCCTCTCCCTCTGCCTCTCCCAACTTGATCCACATGAACATCCCCGCCTGCACCCACGCTGATCGATAAATGCTGACAACACATTTTGTGAATAGAAAATGTTTCTCTAAGCATTTTCAGTATTTGAGGTGATCTCAGATGGGTTAAGGACACTGGTCTGTCCTAACTCTTGCGTTGCACCACAGTGCAATGATGACAACATGATGCCAGGCCCTGGCGGTGTCCCAGAACAAGGCTGTTAACCAATTTTTGTGTCTGCAGTGTCTGCCTGCAGGGGCAGTTCTTCTGTGAGGGCATGTGTGCTGAGGGGCACCTGGCCCTGTGTCTGCCACTCTGCTGTCACTCCCAAGGACCCCTGCGCCTCTGCCTCCACCCCTTCCTTCCCCTTTGCACAACACTTTGGGTGGGAGGAGAGGACAGAGGGCTGCCTTGGCGGGAGTCAGTATCCACTTCTGATGTCCAGGTGGGGTTTGTCCCTCTCAGATTTGCGTCAGCCGAAGGTTTTTGGTCTTGTTCTAGGCTGGGTCTTCCTGCTGTTCTCTCATCTTAGCCCAGTGCTCCTCTCCCTCCTCAGGTAAGGTGGCAGGCCTGCAGTACCCCATCCCAATCTCCTGTTTCTCAGTCACACTTCTAGTTAAAGATGAACTTGGGGCGGTCTCATAGGGAAGGTTGGTCCCCAGCCTTTTTTCTCAGCATGTGTGCTGGGAGCGTTCTAAGAACTTCATGTGTGTTATTAACATGCATACTGCCGAAAATAGCTCCATGAGAGAGTTGTCATTATTTTCTGATTTTACAAAAGAGAAACTGAGGCACCACAAGGTTAAATGACCTTGTGTAAAGGTTAAGTTACACAGTTAATAAGTAATGACATTATTCAAGAAAACTCGATATGAAAATTAGGAAATTCAATTGAGAGGGTTTATCTGAAAATCATAAGGATATTTACATATTAGGATTTTTAAAAAATTGATTGTGATAAATATATTGACCATCTTAACCATTTTTGTGTTCAGCAATGTTAAGAACATTTACATCGTTGTGCAAATCATCTCCAGAACTCTCTTCATTTCACAAAACTGAAACTCCATACCCATTAAGCAACAATTCTCTATTCTTCCTTCCCTAACCTGTCCCAACCAATATCCTACTTTCTGTTTGAATTTGGCTAATCTAGGTACTTCATATAATTAGAATCTTATAGTCTTTGCCCTTTTGTGATTGGCTTATTTCACTTAGCACAACGTCTTTAGGGTTCATCTATGTTGTATTTTGTGTTGGAATTGCCTTCTTCTGTAAGCCTGAATGATATTTAGATGTGCCTGTGTACCACATCGTGTCTAACCATTCTTCACTGATGGGCACTGGGGTTCTTTCACCTTTTGCCTATTGTGAGGAATGCTGCCATGAACATAGGTATACAAACATCTGTTCACGTCTCTGCTTTCAATTCTTTTGGATATATATCCAGAAGTAGAACTGCTAGATCATAGGGTAGTTCTATTTTTAATTTTTTAAGGACTTGCCATACTGTTTCCCATAACAGCTGCACCTTTTTATATATTCCCACTAGCAGTGCACAAAGGTTCCAATTTCTCTACCTCTTCCCCAACACTGGTATTTTCTGGGTTTTAGATAATAACCATCTTAATGGGTGTAACATGGGGTCTCATTGTGGTTATGATTTGCATTTCTCTAATGATTAGTGACATTGTGCATCTTTTCTTACACTTATTGGCCATAAGATTGTCTTTTTTGGAGAAATGTGTATTCAAATCTTTTGCCCATTGTTTGAGTTGTTTGGTATCTTTTTTGTTAAATTGTAGGAGCTCTTTAGATATTCTGGATATTAATCCTTTATCTAGATATATGATTTGAAGATATTTTCTCCCATTCTGTGGGTAACTTTTTCATTTTGTTGATATTGTGCTATGATGCACAGAAGTTTTCGGTGTTTTAGTCATGAAGTCTTTGCCCAGGCCTATGTCTTGAATGTGTTGCCTAGGTTTTCTTCTAGGGTTTTTATGGTTTTAGGTCTTACATTTAAGTCTCTAATTCATCTTAATTTTTGTGTAAGGTATAAGGAAGTGATCCAGTTTCAGCTTTCCGCATATAGCTAGCCAGTTTTACCAACACCATTTATTCAATAGGGAATTCTTTTACCATTGCTTGATTTTGTCAGGTTTGTCAAAGATCAGCTGGTTGTAGGTGTGTGATGTCATTTCTGAGGCCTCTGTTCTGTTCCATTGCTCTGCTTTGGTACCAGTACCATGCCGTTTTTGTTACTGTAGCCTTGTAGCATAGTTTAAAGTCAGGTGGCATTATGCCTCCACTTTGTTCTTTTTGCTTAGGATTGTCTTGGCTATCTGGGCTCTTTTTTGGTTCCGTATGAGATTTAAAGTGTTTTTTTTTTCTAATTCTGTGAAAAAAAGTCAATGGTAGCTTGATGGGGATAGCATTGAATCTATAAATTACTTAGGGCAGTATGGCCATTTTCATTATGTTGATTCTTCCTATCCATGAGCATGAAATGCTTTTCCATTTGTTTGTGCCCTGTCTTATTTCCTTGAGCAGTGGTTTACAGTTACCCTTGAAGAGATCCTTCACATCCTTTGTTTTTCTATTTTGGCAGAAAACCACCATTGGCATTTTGATAGGCATTGAATTAAATCTGTAGATTACATTACTTTGGGTAGTACTGACATCTTAATAATGTTATGTTTTCCAATCTGTGAACATGAATTTCTATTTATTTGTGTCTTAAATTTACTTCAGTGATATTCTATAGTTTTTAGCATCTGAAACTTTCACTTGTGTACTTAAGTTTATTCCTGTTTTGTCATTTTTGGTGCTACTATATGGAATTGTTTCTTTAATACCTTTTTGAGATTGTTGTACAGAAACACAACTGAATTTTGCATATTGATTTTGTATCCTGCAACTTTGCTGAATTTATTAGTTCTAACAGTCTATGTGTTTGGGTGTGTAGAATCTCCAGAGTTTTCTACATAAAAATTATGTCATCTTAGAAAACAGAGAATTTTACCTCTGCCTTTCCAGTTTGAATGTTTTTATTTTTTCTTCTTGCCTAATTGCTCTCATTTGAACTGCCAATACTTTGATAAGTAGAAAGGGTGAAAGCCAGCTTGCCTGTCTTACTTCTGATCATAGAGGAAAGGCTTTCAAGTTTTCACCATTAAGTATAATACTAGCTGTAGGCTTTTCAGCATTTACTGTGTTGAAGCAGTTTTCTTTTATTACTTTTTTGAGTATTGTAATCATAAAAGTGTGTTCAATTTTGCCCACTATTTTTTCTGTATCAATTGATAAAATCAAAAGTTCTTTTTCTCTATTTCGTTAAGGCAGTGTATTATAGTCATTCATTCTCCTATGTTGAATCATTGTCTATGCATTCCAGGAACAAATTTCACTTGGTCAGGCTGTATAATCCATTCAATGTTCTGTTGAATTCAGTATGTTAGCATTTTGTTGAGGATTTTTGCAGCTATGCTAATCAGAGATGTTGTCCAGTAGATTTTATTTATGGTAGTTTATTATCTGCCCTTTGTATCAGGATAATACTGGCCTCATAAATTATTGCTTCCATCACTTCAATTTTTTGGAGGTGGCAGAGAAGGATTAGTTTTAATTTTTCTTTAATTATTTGGTAGAATTCACCAGTGAAGAAATCTGGTCCTGGACTTTTCTTTGATGAGAGGCTTTTAATTATGGATTCAGTCTATTTGCTACTTATTCTTCCATTAAGTTTTTTCAATATATTCATAATTTAGTCTTGGAAGGTTGTGTGTTTCTAAGAATTTATCCATTTTATCTATATTGTTCAATTTGTCGGCAGACAATTGTTCATATTAATCTCTTAAAATCCTTTTTATTTCTGTAAAATTGTAATGTTCCCTCTTTCATTTCTGATTTTAGTTATCTGGGTCTTCTCTTTTAGTCATCTAGAAGGTTTGTGTATTTTGTTGATATTTTCCAAGAACAAGTTCTTGGTTTCATTAATTTTCTCTATTGCTTTTCTGTTTTCTAATTCATTTGTCTCTCCAGTATTTCCTTCTACTAGCTTTGGGTTTAGTTTTTTTCTTCTTCTACTACTAAATTAAGATGTTGTTTATTTGATATGGTTCTTTTACTTAATATAAGTGTTTATAACTTACATTTTCCTCTAGCACTGCATTTGCTATAGTCCATAGTTTTGGGATGCTGCATTTACACTTTTATTTGCCTCAAAATATTTTCTAATTTCTTTTTTTTTTTTTTTTTTTTTTTTTTTTGAGATGGAGTTTCGCTCTCGTTACCCAGGCTGGAGTGCAATGGCGCAATCTCAGCTCACCGCAACCTCCGCCTCCTGGGTTCAGGCAATTCTCCTGCCTCAGCCTCCTGAGTAGCTGGGATTACAGGCAAGCGCCACCATGCCCAGCTACTTTTTTGTATTTTTAGTAGAGACGGGGTTTCACCATGTTGACCAGGATGGTCTCGATCTCTCGACCTCGTGATCCACCCGCCTTGGCCTCCCAAAGTGCTGGGATTACAGGCTTGAGCCACTGGGCCCGGCCCTTCTAATTTCCTTTATGGTTTATTCTTTGCCATTTATTCTGTACAAAAATGTGTTCTTCAATATCCACTTATCTGTTAATTTTC